CCCCCCCGCTCTTGAATTTCATAAAAAGCCCCCCCCCCAAAAAAAAAAAAAAAAAAAATCAACTGGGCACACACACCGTTCAACCAGACATAACCTATACATATATTTTGTTTTCAAATTCCACTTAAGTTTATTTCACACTTCAGGTTGCAACAAACTACACACCATCTTTACAGTGAAACATTTTTGTGCAACTATTTCTTTTTGTAGTTCTATACTGTTTTAGAGTTTTCTTTGCTGTCAGTGTTATTTCAAACACATTTCGGTTTTTTATTATTATTTGTAACAATATTCAACTTTGCTATCATCAATACATTTAAAAAAAAAAGCCTCTGTACAAAATGGGGTTAAAACATGAACAGCTCACTGAGTTTTTTTTTTTTTTTTTCCCATTCATCGTACACCCCCTGCAATGGCACTGCACCCCCAGTAGGGGACGCGCCCCACACTTTGGGAACCACTGTTTTAACTTGTTGAAATACACCAGTCAGCATCAAGCATGTACTTACCAGTGCAATCCAGAGTACCAGGTACTCATCAATAAAACTATTGAAATACTGATCGAGAAACAGTAATCCTGGCCCCAAGAAGGCTAAATCATGGAGATGCATCTCACTTTTTGTCATATGTGCTACCTGTGAAGAGACAAATATGTAGATCACATCAAAAATCAAATAGAAGATTGTGCAATCTCTAAAAACACAACAAAATTTTTAGGAAGGAACATCAGCACTGGCCACAGGAAGTCTCATGAGTGAGAACAGCTTTGTTTATCCCCATTGGATATGATAACTGAATGTAAATAATTTGACTTAATGATTTATATTTAGCACTTTGTACATTTTCTTTCTAACAACTAAAAATTTGAGCTTAGGTACAAATAAATGATACTCAAAGATTATGCTGCTAACAAAGTTTAATCGGCAGATCATTTGACCAAAATCCACTCTGGTGTATAGAAATTACAAACTTAGATAATTTTATTTTTAAAAGTGTAAACTCAAAGAGTTTTTCATCTTTTACATGAGTCTAATATGTCACAAAAATGAGTTAAACACCATGAAGTGGAAGTCCAGGATCATGATTAAATCAAAATGTCATTTATCAAATCAAAAAAGAGATTTTTGTATGCTGGTTGAGCCTTCCTCTACAGGTTTTAAAAGTTAAAAACTCAGATAAAGGTCAGATTGAACAATTCACAATATGACTACAGTGGTGCATTAATTATGATTCCTGCATTTATCCCGTTTAGTCTTGAAAATTATAATTATTGCTTTGAATAAATATGTCTGGTGTACTAAAAATGTCAGATGTTTAATGGCATACAAAAATGCCAAATGTGACATAGATTTCCATTTCTACTGAAGAAAAGACTTACAACTAATTTATTTGTGATTTTGGCCGATACGAAGCCAAATGCCAGGATATAAAGACATGGATGTTTCTCAAAGAGCTGGACAGCAGACTTTTTGTATATCATCATCGCCAAAATTATAACTGAACCAATATGTAGGACAGGAGAGAGGACGCTGGTTCCCTGGGGACAAAGGACAACAAAATCAGTGTCAGCATAGTCTTTCATTTTACAAAGATAAAAAATTGGCCCTGTAGTTGGTACCAGCTACAAGGGACATGTAGCTGGTGCCAGCATGTGCCCTGAATACTCAATCACAAATGAACAGAGCTAGAAACAGATTATTTTCTGAAATAAAGCATCACCTGTCATTTTTATACAGACAACTGCGAAGTTTATTTCCCTGTGAATTGTTTTGCTCCCTGCTCTGCTCATTGTCTTCTTAAGTACCTGGCTTAAGTCAGGAGATGGGTGGAACTAAATCTTCTGAATTTTAATAAGAACAAGATAAAAGTCCTGCTGTTTGGGCCAACTGGCACCGATGGAAAACAAAAAAACCAGTAGTAGAAATCTGGGTGTGAGAGTTGACACTCCCTTATGATTGATAGTTAAGTAAACACTGGTAAAATCCTTCCTTTTCCAGTTGAGTCATTTATCATAAATAAAGCAGTCACTTTGAAACTGTAATCCATTCTTTTACAATCTTGGCTCCTTGCTCTTTGTTTCTTTTTGGAATTAGTCATACATTTTCTTCCTCACGATAGAAAAAGCTGCTTCTTGATTAGCCTGCACAAGGGAAAAGAAGACATTTGGGAATACTAGCATCTATTTATTGGCTTCAAATTACTTTCAAAATATATTTAAAAATTTGTATGTTTAAGCCACATATGCCGTTTCACTGTCATATGGCAGGACGATATGGATGAATTTTAGTGAAATTATTGATCACGTATCTATTGCGATATACAATTTTGTACTGATTTATTATTCAGCCCTACTATGTCAGCTCAGTAAATTAGTGAGTCAAGAGATAATGGAGTTTTGTTTTATTGTTTTGCCAGTCACAAGGGTATTTTAAAATTACCCTTCAGTCTTTGTACCATCTGTGTAGCTTTTATTCAGCTCTATTTTTTCCTTAAGTTTGGCTTTACTATGGAGCCTTTTTGGTGAGTGTCATTTATCTGAAAGCAGTCCAACAATTATAAATCATAACATTCAGATTACAAAATATGAACAGCGGTTTTACAGAGATATACTGTCAGCAGACTATTGGTCTGTTCATGGGGCTTACAGCACAGCTGATACAGAGATGTGGACTGTATGCATTTGCATAGGGAGCAGGTGAGATCTGATTACAAAGAGTCACCCAGGAAAAAACTTTATGAGGTAAACTCTTTATAACAATTCACTAACTAATCCCCCAGCTCCACAAACAGCAACATCAATGACACTTTTGAACCAAAATGTTTTGATACTTACAGCTATTGTGGATCCATTTTTACCAACACCTCCAGTAAATATAACTCTGAAGTAATTTGTGCAAGAGAAGATGGCTCCTAATAAAGTGCATATGGCCGGAATCATTTTCATCTGGATATTTAGGACGGGAATCTGGGAATCAAAAGATTCACACAGCAAACTTAGAAACTTACAGTTGGTCAAACAAAGAGATAAAACATACGCTGGTCCGGTTCTTAAAGTTGTTCTGTACGTCATAAGCACGTTCAGAATAGCATCCACACTGAAGACGTCATGAGTAATGTTAGAGAATAATAAAAGCGCTATCAGAATTGTTTTTTGTTTTTTTTTACTAGTATAAAACAGTCAACACAACAATGTTAGAGCAGCATTACATGTTGATGAAATTATCAAAATTACCACAATAGAATTATAGAATCATATGCAATATGTCAATTTATTGGAATTAGAACCATTCAAAATTACCAGTGACTGCCAAAAAGCAGATCCTCCCACGGCGGCCAGCAAATACATGATTATAATGAAGATTTGCACCTCAGTCACATCAATGCTGAGTGGGAGGAAAAAGCAGAGGATTTACAGTGAAGTTTAGTAAAAGTCTACCAGCACATCAAATTCCTGCAGCCTTCTTCCACAAGACATTACCAGACATGGAGCCAGTGGTTTGGGTCTACATGTTGAACTTTAAGTTTTTGTACAGGTAGAAAATAATTGAAACAGATTATGAATCATTGTTCTCAATGTGACTCCATGCAGGACAGCAGCCATTGTGGAGGCAGTGCAGCAGTAAGCCATGCAGGCAGCAGCCAGGAAGTTTACCATCACGTTCCACAGGGAGGGACCAACAGTGGCTGTGAACATCTGTAATCCTGCTAGACAGAGCTGCAGCTCTGTTATGTCAAATCTACACACAGGACACATTACATTTACTCCTCCTCGACTGCACACATTACTGCTACAGGCTGATGAAAGGACTAATATCAAAGCATTACTGCTGGATCCACTTTTAGATAACTTCTTCAGAGCCTTGGAGTAAGCCCAAGATTACAAATGCAAAGAACCTGTTCCTGGGTTCTTCCAACCATGTTTTTATTCAACAAAAGGTCTCTTTTTAGTAATAGTCTTTTAAGACCAAGTATGACATACTAAACACTACACAAACACAAAATCTAAAAGTAATTTTGGTCTAGTTTCTAGTGTATAATATCTTCACCTTTAATAAGACAAAACTAACATACAAGTAATTTTACATCAAGATATAGGAGCTTGTTTTAAGCTCAAACTAAAGCGAAAATACTTGGTAAGATTTTGTGTTCTTGCAGTGAAATTATGTGGATTAGCTTTTGGCAAATTTTCAATCACATAATCAGCCTCTACGTTCTCAAGAAAAGCTATAAATGAGCAGAACCCAAAATAAAGTTCCAGAAAAAAGGGTTTGTTTATTTTGGAATCAATTTTCATTTACGAAAAAATTTAATTTATAGCTTCAGCCTTTAGAAGAAGCACAAGTGGCACTTTTTCCATTGAGTTTAGCACATCTTTAGCTTCAGCCAATTGTATAGAGTAATGTTAAAATTTCCCATAGACAGCAAAACTTACATTGCCTTGGCAACCAACTCAGGACTGACCCATCATACTATTTCATCCAACTAGAAAGTCAGTCTACAATAATACTTACTCAAGCTAATCTCTCTCTATATATATATTACCATCTTTTATAAAACATAAAAAGGCACAATGCACTTAATTTTATATTTGTGACAAAAAGAAACCATTTTTAAATAATATAATTTCTGACAATAATGTGTGAATAAAGGGGATTTGTTTGTTCTGTTTTGTTAATTTTAAAGCACTTGAAATATACAAGACTTTTTAAAAGCTAAAAAAAAACAAGCTTGTGCGTCACTAAAGGCTGGTCTGAAATCAGCAGTACTGACAAATAATCAGACTGAGACAAAACAGATTTGTGTTCATTGTTTCTTGACTCACATGCCAAAGCGTAGCGTTCCCGACACATATGTTTGCCAGTGGGCACAGTAGAACATAAACATCCCAGCGAAGCAGCAGAAGAACATCCAGTCTGGGTTGGTGCCCAGCTGCACTGCTATACTGGTTCCCAGTACAACAAACACTGCAAGGATGAAACACAGGTACAGACACTGTTTACATGGTTACAGGTTTTCCAAGACAAAGGCTCTGCTCATTCAGAGGTTTTTTTTTCTTTTCTTTAGGTACAACCAACTGTGCCTTGCTATTGTATTTCTGCAGCACAGAGGCAGAATAAAGAGATGGGGGGGCAGGGGGTCAGGCTGTTATGCTCCAGGGCTCCAGAAGAAGTGGTGACACAGACAAAAAGAGGTGTGTGTAATGGGAGGTCAGCACTGTGAGACATGCTGTTCTAATCAAGACAGAGATTTGAGCGTTTGCAAGCACACGCCAATACATTGTAGAGTGTTATAAATGAATGACCACAGAGAAAACTGCAGCAACATCAGACCGAGGTGTTAGCTGACAGAAGTACAAAAACAAAACTCCACATGATGAGAGCCAGACATCAACAAAACTCACCTGTAGAGAGGGAATCACAGCCGTGGTCAAACAACTCGCCCAATGGAGAGCTGCTATTGGTGCGTCTGGCCTGTTTCCCATCAATGGCGTCCAATGACTGGTAGATAAAGAGACCCACTGCACACATTAGGTATGCCCAGAGAGGAGCCTGCAGAAACACAAACACAGAAAAATGTAGTTATCATTAAGAGTTGTATTACAGGAAGCCCCCCCCCCAAGGAATATTTTATTCCAAGGATAATAAACAGAAGCTATTAGAATAACCAAACGTATCAGTACAGAATATTTTTCCCAATGGAGTCTACAAGGCACTGTAGACTCCATTAAATAATATAAACCAACACACTGCTTCCAGTCAAGATGGCCCATTTAGTCTTAAAAATATATTATCTGCAATCTTTGCAGAAAAAAACGTTTAATTAAATTAAGAATTAACTTTTCAGCTTTGTTATTGATAACGTCGTCAAACCACATTCACATTTTCTCACCACTTTAATAAGCTGATTATATCGTTAAATAATTTATTTTAAACTATTTTAATCTCTTCCTCTTCAACAGTTTCCTATTAGCAGTGTCCAGAATCATTTAGGTAGTAAGAATATGTTCAAGGACTAGAAGTATTTGTCCTGTCCCACCTGCTCAGTGGCAGTTGGGCAGTAGTAGACAAGAACAAGGGTGGTGAAGACATTGGTGGCCAGGCCGATGATGGTGATGAGGTTGGGGGCAATCCAGGAAGGGACCTGTCCAACCAACCACTCCCAATAGCGCTGCATCAGAGGCTCCAGCAGCGAGTGTCCAGCACTGCTGTACCTGCAGGGACGGAAAACAAAGCAGGTGGAGATTTCTCCCAAAACTAGAATCAAAAATGATGGAGTTGAAAGAAGGATCAAATCACCGTAGCAACGGCTAAGCTGGGTTTTAACATTTGTAGATTGTTGATTCTTGTCATTATTGGGCCCATTTTTTTCCTCAAAACATAACTCATCCTGCAGTTACGTACATTAATGTTTACACCCCTTACACTTAGTCAATAATGCATATTTATCAGCATCATCTTTTTGTACTGTAGTGTTTAAGGGAAATATTATTTTTACTTTTTGTAATTCATAAAAACTCCAATTCATCTTGTAAGCTATAAATTTGTGTGCAGGAACAGTCGTGAAAAGGGTTTGCATTAATCATTTAAAACAGACGTCAGACCTGACATACTTGTTCTACTTTAAACAAACAGTAAGTATAAAGAAGCAGAACTTTTACACAAAAGAGACTCATCACTCCTCATTATCGCACTGGATGAGTAAACACTACAGCACAAAAGCAAACACCAGGTAAAGTAATTGAGAACAATACACATGTACTGAAATGTCTTAGGTCTCATTGTTGAACTACTCTCAAACGTTTTCTATATAATTATGTTTTAAGTACAGCCTGAACATCATTATGTGCCCTAAAACATTTAATTTAGTGCAACATGCAAAAACAAGAGAAACAATAATAAAGTACTTGGCACATACATTCCATTTGATGAGCTGTTGCATGAAAACTTGCAACTTAATTATTGCGAAATAATGATTACAAGTATTATAAACATAACATTTACCAAAAATGGCACTTTTGCAAGATTAATATTCAGTTCAATTTGTTCAGCAGAGCAATGTGTATTAAACATGACACACAAACAAACTGAAACGTTGACGTGATAGGCAAACGTATGAAATTATGGTAGATTTTATTTCTTAAGTTTCATAGTAAAACATTCAATAATCTATTTAATTAATCTTTTATTACATTATATTTTTACAATAAACCAAACCTAATAAAATAATTTATTAAAATGAAAAAAAAAAAAATACTTAATTGATACCAAAGGGAAATTAAATACATTTCTAAAACAACACTTTTTCATGATTGGTAAATATTTTATGTAGTTGTAAAATACATACTGCCACTTATTGGAGTTAGATTAGATTAGATTTATTGTTCAATGACAGGATGCAGAGTTTTTACCTATGCTCCTCCAGTCTCTTGAGCTGGTGCCGGGATAGAGGGGGAGAAGGAAGCTCGATCAGCCTGCGCAGCACTCCAGGAGACAGCCAGCAGGCCGCTTCCATGCCCATGCCCGACCGATGATCCTTGTCACGGGCAAGGCTTCGGCGAGTACGCAGCCCCCCCCCTTGCTGCCCCGTGGTGCTCATGGAGCCCTGATGTGATCCCTGATGGCTCTGCCTCTGCCACTGTCCTGCCTGGAGGGCTAAAGATCCACGATGTGGCTGGATGATTTCTAGGGAGAATTAACCAACGGTTTTCTGTGAAAAATCTACTAAAAATGATAATATTTCCAGAAGGACTATAACATAAATAAAATAAATCTACTGCAGGTCTTCAAATTGAGTTTGCAGAAAATGAAGGAACTGCAAGATTATTTTAATCTTTTTTGGATTTTTACTCAACTCAGAAAATGCATCAAAATACGTGCTGTCGGTTGATGCATTTACATACCAAAAGCATGTCGCTTATCTTTCTTTTGATGCTCGTAGCAATTAGTATGTGACCTGCTGATCAGGAAGAGACTAGTAAACCGTGAGCTCAGTTTCTTTAGTTTAAAAGAAAACAACAAAAAAACATAGCATGCAACTAAAAATGTCCTCACCAGTTCAGTTAATGAAGGGCAAAGTTACCTTAATATATCTATAACTAATTAACAATTAGTTAATAAATGCCAAGCCTATACTTCAGTCTTAGTTTGCTAGAAAGGTGACTATAGAAAAAAAAAACTGCCATTTCTGTTCTTAAAGTAGCTCAAACAATCTTTTAAACAATTCACTGTTATTTATAAGTGGTTTTTAAAATAGTAAAAAAAAAATGCAGAAAGTCTAAAGAACTAGGGAAACAAATTATGAAATAGTCAGGGTATCTCAAGCGGTTTCACCAACTATTATTATTTATGGTTTGAGAGAAATGTCAAGTACTCTGTTAAAACAGCAATCCTTGCATTCTTATATTAAGAATCTAACCAAAGATTAAACAACTAAAGTTCAAGTACCTCGGTCCAGCATTCATTTAAATATCTTCAGCGTTGCACATAGAGGAGGGAACATTATTTAAATTAAAACAACCTCTACTTTGCTATGAAACATAAACGTCCTTAGAGACGGGAGGACACAGCGACCCTTGTGAATCTCGACTGTCACATGTCTCCGTCACTGATATAATCAATCAAGTCAGAATGGAACATCCAGACAAGTCAAAACACAACGTGTCATGTTGCGCTTGCTCTACTATTACACTTTGAGTTCCACCCAAAGTAACTCCGAAAGCTTGCTATCATCGTACAAACCAAAGGCGATTTATTTACGTCTAAATGCAGTAAGAATATACTTATTTAACTGTCAGCTCTCGGCAAAATACGAACTGCTGACAGTTTTTCATCGACAGCAAACATTTTCTTGAGTAGCATGTTAGCTTGGTTCAAACAGACCAAATCCAACGAATTCATACTCCCTACCACCATTTAAGTTATTCTTGAATTTGAATTTTTATTTAAACAAAAAATGTGTAGTAAGCACATTTTTTATTTACGAAAGTGGTGTTGATGGGTGTGCAGCCCTGTCTAGCTTAACAAGCTAAAACAAATTCAGCTAACGAATGCTAACACCAACTGACCTGGCGATTAAAGGACGAGATCCACGGACTGTCCAAGGGTCAGTTATGCAGCTTAAGTCCAACAGCCAGCTTGTCCTTGTAGTGTCCGCTCCGATTTACTGTTTATGATCCAGAGCAGCGTCTGCAACTGTTGAGAAATGTCCACGACCCGGTGTCCCAGCACCTAGTCGGCTCGGTGAGCTAGTTATCGTTAGCCATCACGGAAATCTCGCGACATCTACTTCAGTCAGGAAGAAATTTATCCAGAACTGGATCTCCCAGGCAACTAATAATAATACATTTTTAAATGTATAAGACATTCATACTGCAACTAATCATAATAATAACAATGATATTTTAAACTCAAATTATATTAGTGCAATATGTATAAAAGCACAATGAATAGTAAATTAAATTGAAAATGTACAAACACATCCCTAGCTTATTTCCATCAAACGACTTATACATCTACAAGACAATGCCACAAAAATAGGGCTCTGTTGAAATTATTAAAATGTGTGCTGACACTGCTGTTCAGGTAAGTTTTAAATTATTCCTCCTATTATTCAATCATTTGACACATAAAACCATAGGCACTTGTGGTACATATTATGTACTTGAGGCATTTAGCTTAAATTAGCAGAACAAAATAAAAAAATGCACAATTAAATTAAACTTTAGTGTCTATTTTACCAGACAAAAAAACAGCCTAGCAGCATTTATTTTCTTTTACTTAACATTTTCAGGCAGTGTCCTGAAACAATGTAAAAACCAATCACATGGAAAATGATAGAGGGAGTAGATAATACATCATTTTCAGTTGTCAGGGTGTATGGGGCATGGTTTAAAATAAATCCCCATTATTAAAATTACTAGCTCCACAATCTAATTTGGAAAATATCCCACAAAACACCCCTCAAATCTTCAAATTTTGTCTAGATTGAAGTGCATTGCAGTTCTCTCTGAAAATACCAACGTTTGCTGAGAGCCCCTGTCAACTACTATGCAAACAAAAATAAATTAAAATTCATTAAAAGCAACATCTTTTTATGAAACCTACATGAATCATCACAAAAATTAGTTAATCATTAAATGTGTCTATTTCATACAGTTATATATTTCTGTGACTGAATGCAAGTCTTGGCCGCCTTACAGAAGATTTTATTGGTGTGCTGCAGGTTTTCTGTTATACAAAAAAAATGACACGCTCAATCTTTCTGTACATTTTATTTTATCTTTTATGTGCGTTTGCATGGTCTTAGGGCTCTTCAACCAACAGATGATTCATATGGGGATAAAAGAAGTCTCTCAGCATGTTCTGGACCTGAGCAGGCCGGGGGTTCTCTCTAGCTGGGATCAGAACTGGATTCAGAGGGGAACTCAGGAGCTTTGAAGGGGTGAAAGCAGTAGCAGCAGCAGCTGAGCGGGTCTGTGCTGTGTGAAGACCCTCCATAGCGCTGGAAAGCCAGATGAGCCTTTTCAGACTCTGGATGTTTCGACCACGATCGTGCATTAGCTGGTGTTCAGTCACTGCTCGACGACTGCAGGGAGACCAAACACAAGTCAGTGCACTGCCTCACAACTCAGAAAACCTTTGAGGAATACACAGTTCCATCCAAACCAGGTTTAATCTAAAAACTCCCCATTCACGTTACGTGAGTGCCAAAACCGTATTTTTACATTAACATAAAAACTGTTGGTACCCAAGCAAAAACATATCAAGGTATAATCTAAAAAAATGAATTGAAAGACTAGGATTAAAAATCCATGTTTATTTTAATTGTTTACATAAAAGCAAAATCAAGTGAAGTATGTCCACCTGCATCAAATGTCACTTTTGGAATAGGTGGAAATTATTTTAAGACATAACAAAAATTTACTGTTGATTCTGAAAAAGAAAAACAAATCAAGAAATGCTGCTGACATCTGAGGGCTTAATGCCATAAAAATTCAGAATTGTAGTCTTAGTTCTTTGATGTTAAATTGGACCTTTTTACCCAATTATGTATGAACTTTGTCATTGGTACTTGTAAAAATGTTAATGGATCAGAACATGAATCAACCACTTATCTATAAATTGAAGAACAGATTTTGGACTCATGAAATGAGTATAAATATCTTAAATAACTTATGTATGTTTAGCTTGTCTCGAGACAAAATAACTATCTGCACAAAAGCAGAAAATCAAAGATATTTGTCTCACTTGTCATTCTGTTGACAATGGCCGGTCGTAAAGATGACAAGAACCATCACAGCAACCAACTGCACTGGCGAGATCTGCATCTTCTAAATCAGAAAACATACACAAAATATAACATGAAAATGGAGAAAAATGTATCTGAAGTGCTGTACTCTTCCACTGGGAATAACAGAGAAGAGTTGGCGAATAACTATGCGGTAATAAAATCCAGAGTCAGGTTCCTCCTATAAACTTTTATTGTCACAAGTCAAATTTATTTGCCCTTAATTTTTACTGTTTCATTTTCTAAAAAAACATAGATGAGCAAAACAATGAACTCTTTGCTAAAACAAATTTCAGAAGTTATGAAACTAAGTCATTTATGAAACTATAAATCACAGAATTTTGCATAAATCAATAGCAATTATTAATTTCACATCTCTGCACAACCTTGGATATTAGGGAAAATTTCTGTTTGCAATTATCAATAGTTTTAGATTTAGAAATCTATTTTCTAATTTTGAGTTATAAAACCTGAAATGAAACTTGTATGACAAACCTTTCCATGGATGGGATTTTGTAAAGGAGGAAAGAATGAACTCCTAATAATCTCCTGCAGCTTAAATTTAAATTCTCTGGAGACTTAATTGTAGGTTTCTACCATGTTAAAGGTGAAAACAGTAGAAAAAAAAACATTGGTACAATATCAGTTTTCAGATTTGAGAAAAATAAAACGAAGCTAAAAAAAAAAAGAAAAAGAAATCACCAAATTTCTATTATTATGCTATTACTTTTACATGGTGTAACTGACTATTGCAACTTCAGAATTACTTTCAGTATGATACATTTTGTCATAAAAAATACAAATACACAGCATAAACTTTGAGAATAATTAACAAAATTCTCTTGGACAAACAGTAATTGCAGGTACTTACATTTCTTCTCTCTGAGTGGAAACAGCTCCTCTAATGCTAAAACTCTCCAACTGAGATCTGATTCGACCCTTCAGACCTTTTATAAATCCCCCTGACACACACATACATAGACACACATTTTGTTTAGCCCACCCACATAATAAAAAGCCACAAATTTAAAATAGGACACTTGATTTGGAAATGAACAGAAAAAAAAAACGTCAGCAGCATCATCTCCAACATGTGACTTTTGTCCGGAGAGATAAAACGTCAAAGCCTTTTAGGCTTATTTGTGTTAACGTAATCCCAAACAGACCCCTGTCCCTCAATGCTTGCTTGCATGTGTTCTTTATTCAATCAGGTGCTTTAGAAAGAATGATCGAATTAAATTGAGGGATCAGGATTTCTCCATTTTGTGGTTTAATCCTCCACATTCCTTTTTTAAGAGACCCTGGCACCTGAGGTAAAAGGACAAATTTAGAGAATGGTTGAATGGTTGTATTGATTTCTTGGACAAAGAGACCCTGAATGAGTCAGTGCAGATGAGCTAAACCTCAGAAAAGTGTGCGACGCTTCAGGTTTAAACTTTTCCAAACACTTTGTAGTTAAAATGTTTGTTACCTGGAGCTCTTCACCAGCTACTTGATACCACCGACCCCAACACTTAATGAACCTAGGAGGACTGAGGTCTACCATGGTTGCCATGGTACCTCCACAGCCACCAATAGAAATACAGTCGTCCTGACAACATCTTCCAGGAGAAGTTTCTTTCTCCGTGAGGAATGTTGGCTCCCATCAGAAGCTTGTGGGCAGAAAAGATGAAGGAGGCATGGCATGATTCAGTTTATTAGGGAATGAATCCAAAAAATATATATCAATAACATGGATAGAAGAGTAAAAAGTATAAAGTGATAAAACAGGTGTGCTTCATAAAAAAAAAAAAAAGCTAAGGTATTGTGTCGAGACATTGTATGCTATGAACATAGCACTGTTATTTGCTTCCGTACAGATAAGTTCTGCTTTGCCACTGTCATCCTGTCCGGCGTGTAGCATGCCCTTCACTCGGCGTTTGCTAGGGATGGATGCCAGCCCCCCGCAACCCTGCAAGAAGTCTTTTACATATATTTTTTAATCCTTTCTGTACATTATTGTTTAAATGAAAGCTACGTTTGATAATAAATTGCATGTTTAAAGTAGCACAAATATATGTATTGGATTTGTGTCAAAACTTTGAATAGGCTACTCCTAAACCTCCATGTGGATTTTTGTAAGCCTTTCAGGTGCGAGTGCTTTGAAGCATTGACCTGCTGCATCATCCAGATTTTTAATATGTAAAGTATAGCTTTTTTTCTCCTTAATAAGAATAATTAGAATTTTGAGGATCGGTTGCTTGCATTTACCTGAGTTAAATTTGTCTGATACCAAGATCAGTTTGAATATCTGAAACATTTAGTTATGGCAAAAAGCAAAACTATAAGAAAGCTGTAAGGTGGGGAATATTTTCATAGCTTTATGTTTTGAACAGAAGATTTAAAGTATGGGGCTGCCAAAAAGGAAAAAAAAACAACAAGAAAATAGAGAAGGCTAATGAATGAAATGAAGTAACATATACAGTGTTATTGTGACAGAAGGAGACTCTAGGACTGCTCTTAAAGTGAAAAGATAAATAAGGAAGAAGGAAGATTGATAACTGGTCTGCCAGATATTTTTTTCTTCTGAATTATATCAATATTTTGCTTGTGATATTTCCTATGTATTGATATGGAGAAAAAAAGAAACATTCATATAAACTTAAATAGTTATAATCTTTGTGTGTCCTCAGCTTACCTGCAAAAACATGCAGTGTAGGTTAATTGGCAATTTTAGATAGGAATGAGTGTGTTTGTTTGTCTCTCGTGATCATGAATAAGATAATACTAGAATTTAAAATAATGAATAAATTCCTGGCAGCTATAAACTACTCCCACAACACCAGATGACCACAATTTGGCAAAGTTAAGTGTTTCAGAACATGCAGATCCCTCTGACTCCCACTGACACCATTGGCGCTGTGTTCATGACATGGCCTGTGGTTACACAGAAGAGTACATTTCATCTGATGGACTTTGTGGCACCACACTGACTTGAAGGCAAATTCAAATGACG